CTAGTGAGAGGAATTAGGAAGAGAAATAAATAAAAGGCATCCAAATTGGGAAGGAAGAAGTTAAATTGTTCCTCTTTGCAGATGACATAATCTGATATATAGAAAATCCTAGATTTTACCAAAAACTGTTAGAACTAATAAACAAATAAAGTTGCAAGCTTTAAAATCAAATAAAAAATTCAGTAGTGTTTCCATACACTAAAAGGGGACTATGTGAAAAAGAAATTAAGAAAACAATTCCATTTACAATAGCTACCAAAAAAAAAAAAATGGGACCAGCAGTTAGCGTAATGGCTATGTCACTAAACTCTCATGTAGTCAACTGCAGTTCGAGTCCTGGACCCGGTGGCTTAAACTCACACTGGGTGCGTGTACGTGCGTGCCCAGGATCCCAAGAGGAGAATGGAGGAGAAAGGATTAAAGTGTGGCCATACCCCCTGGGGACTGATTTCTCGCTTTCTGTCTCTCTGTCTCTCTCTGTCTTTCTGGCGAATGCACACGCCCTATAACAACAACAACAACAAAAGTATATTTAGGAATATATCTAACCAAGGAATTGAAAGATCTCTATGTTGAAAATTATAAGACATTGATAAAAAATTGAGGAAGATACAAAAAATGAAAACACATCCATGTTCGTGAATTGGAAAATCAATGTATTTTTAGAGGCATTTTGCTAGAGGACAGATGTGCTCACCAAAGAGAAAGAGACAGAAAGTGAGAAATCATCCCCCAGGGGTGATGGCCACACTGCAATCCCAGTCTCCTCTCAAGATTTTGGGCATGTACCATATACCCAGCATGAGTTTGAAGCCGCAGGGCCCGGAATTTGAATCATAGTCAGCCATGTGGGAATCCAATGATGTAACCATTATGCATTTGCTGGTCCTAGAGAATCAATTCTTAAAAAAATGTCCATACTGCCCAAAGCGATCCATAGATTCAGTGCAATTCTTACCAAAAATTGCAGTGTCATTCTTCACAGAAATAGAAAAATACAGTACTAAAATTTGTATCAAACCACAAAAGACACTAAATAGCCAGAGTAATCTCAAGCAGAAAGAACAAAGTTGGAGGTATTACACTACTTTATTTCAAAATATACTAAAGATATATGCCATCAGGTGGTATGGAAGTTAAGGTGGCTGGATCCCACATGGCTGACTGCATGGTTCAAGTTCTGTACCCAGCAGTTTGAAAAACACACCGTGTATGTGTGTGTGTGTGTGTGTGTGTGTGTGTGCATGTGTACATGCACTCAAAATCTCAAAAGGAGAATGGAGAACTGCTCTCTGTGCCCTAAAGCAAACTTTGACACACAGTATATGTATAAATACACACAGAAACACATATACGACGTATAACATGTCCATACACATAGTTAAAATATAATGTAAAGAAAATTTAAATTTCTCATTTTGACGATTTTCCCCTATCATTTAACATATTAAAATAAGTCTGATTGGTTCTAACATCTCTCTTTTGGATGTTTTAAGGCCCTTTGTAAACATCCAAAGGTTATTTTTAGATAAAATGATTTAGAATTTGATTTTAGAGAAATCTTGTCAAATACAGCAAAAAGCTTAAATACTTAGCTTAACTGTCAGGAGAAAATGAAAGTTAAATGTTCTCCAAGCACCTTAGGGATGAAAAAGAGGGTTAACTCAGTGTCTATTGGTACCAAAACTAAAAATAGAATACATGGCAGACTATAGCATACAAATAGGACATCCAGATAATAATGAAACAACCTAAAGACCAATATAAAATTCCCTTTAGAAGATTTAGTTTTTATCACTTTTAGTCTTTAGTCCTAGAACTGAACCATAAAAGAACCAAAAATCAAACATTAGAAAAATCAGTCTTATTTAACAGCACCTTTTTTATACTTTTTTAAAACCATTTTACCTTGATTTGTCTGTGAGAAATAAAATATTAGAGAAGGCTAGTCATTAATCTATTTTTTCTGTTGGTCAGATATCCACCGTGTGACATATAACTATAAATACCAGCCGTTTTTATGAAACCAACCATATTAAGACAATTATGATACTGCCCGATCAATAAGCCCTGAACACACTGTATGTCAGAAACTATGAAGATCTTCACTTATTAAACCTTTTCATTTTATCATACTTGAAACTGGCTTATTTACTTAAGTTACCTGAGCTTGAAAAGCATTTAAATTAATTTGTATGAGGGCTCCTTTTTATAAATTGAATGGAATTCCTTAAGGCCTTTTATCACATAGACTTACAACATACCACGAAACATGTATGGATACACACACAGGCAAACAAAAAATTTCGTAGTTTTTTTTGAAAAGTTCTTTATGCTTACCTCCCCCCACAAAATGAGAATGCTTCATATTTTAACCCTGCCTATTCCTTACAGATACCTGTATCAAACTGAAGATCGTAGAGTTGTCTTGATTAGCTCCACCTTGGCTTCTGTAGCCTTGTCAATCATTGCTTATCTTCATATTCCTTGCAGAAAACTGAAACTGGTCACTCTTACCCACTTGCCCAGAGAAACCCCTTAACGCTATGACTGATATAATCAGATTTTTTCTTAGTCTGTCAAAACAATTAATAATTTGCTTTTACTTTAGTATACACCCCTAATAACAAGTATCTGAGCATTACTTTTTAATTGTTAATTTTGCCATTAATTGTTTTAATCCTAAATACTTATTTAATAGGTACAATGTGTAGGTTAAACAAGATAGAAAGTTTATATTTTAAAGGCAAGTAACAGATACAGGATGATTAAAGGTAAGCATTGTTATGCAGATTAATTTCCAGAGGGCAGGTGTCCTTGTTAGACTGAGAAGCACACCCAATAGGGAGGAGTCACACAGCAATCCTTGACTCTCCGGTTTTTTCCCATAATAGTGGAGGTTTAGGGGTTTATGCTTTTTTCAAGTACTATGAAGAGGCTAGGACTGAGCCACAGTTGGGTTTCTTTAAGCAGTGCCCTGAACAACTGCACTGGATGCAGTTGGCTTACATTATACATTTAAATTTATGCATTTTCTATTGTAAGAAACTTTAGTGACCTAACAGGAATATATTTATAAATATGTGGAATTTTCCCCAAGATTTTTAAATAGACACTAATTTGTCAGAAAGCTGTATTCTTTTAAGAATTATTTTATTTAACTTTATTTATTTATTTATTTAAATTTGACCAGAGAGGCACACAGTGAAAGAGAGAGAAAAAGTGAGAAAGCAAGCTTCCAGGTCTGGGACTCGAGAAATAGTCAGCCATGTGGGAGTCCAACACCCTTAACCACTATGCCACCTGCTGGCCCCCCAGAAAGTTGTATTCTTGAAGACCAATTTAATTGATATGTGGCCTTTTAAATTCAGCACATTTCTTAATTAATTACTGATATTTTTGAGAGATCTTTGCTATAGAGTGTGTGGAGAGACAGAAAGTGAGAAATCACCCCCTAGGGGAGAGATGGCCAAGTGGCAATCCCCCCCTTCCACTCTCCTCCTGGGACCCTGGGCATGCATGCAAACACACCCAGCAGGAGCCCTAAGCCACAGGTCCAGGACTTGAACCGTGGTCGACCACGTGGGAATCCAGAGATGCAACAACTACGTCATCTGCTGGTCCCTATTAATTACTGATTTTAAGGTGGAGCACATTAATAAAGGCAAAGAAATCATTTTCAATGCTTTAATTTAGTGTGGATATTACTTAGATACCACTTAAGAAGCAACAACCCAGTCTGACCTATAGATGTATTTTAAACCATTTAGCTTTCTTTTTATTTCAGGTAGGTTGGTAACAAACGAAGCGAAAACTTTGGTAGAATTTTTTATGTCACTTAAGCCTATCATTTATCTTTTATAGTGTCTTAAAAGAGATAAAATAGATTTAAAACTTTTAGAAGCTTCTGCATATCATGGGTATCCCTAGATGGACCTAAATTGGGAAACCTCAATGTAAAAAAATTTTTTTTAATTACTATTTCATTTAGGTTTATTTATTTATTTTTATTTGACCAGAGAGGAGGGGAGAGAGAGAGAGAAAGCAAGCCACCAAGTCCAGGACTCGAACCGTGGTCGGCCATGTGGGAGTCCAGCACCTTTAACCATCACACCACCTGCCAGCTCCAGGAAACCTCAGTTTTAATTATGCCTTTTTTTTTTTTTTGGAGAGATTTTCACTGTAGGGCGCGTGTGCTCGCCAGACAGACAGACAGAGACATAGAGACAGAAAGCGAGAAATCACCCCCCAGGGGGGATGGTCACGCCGCAATCCCTTCTCCTCCATTCTCCTCTCGGGATCTTGGGCACGCACGCACACGCGCCCGGCGTGAGTTTTAAGCCACCGGGTCCGGGACACGAACCGCGGTCAACTACGTGGGAGTCAATTATGCCTTTTTAAAGAGCGATTTTGTTTATACAGAATGTTCTTTATAATGGCCATAGTAATTTCAAATCATGTTAGTAAGACTGTACCACTTCTCTAAATATTGGTGCTTCCAGGAAGTACTTTGATCTTTAGAAATAGGAATTCCATCTTTTACATCAATTTTGAGTCTTGAAGGCCAAGAAAAACCTAAGTGGGAAATAATTTATCCTGGCATTTGCTCTGAGCCCTTCTTTACCAATTTAACCAATGATCTTTCTCTAAATATGCAAAAAAGAAACAAAGATGTTGAACATAAAAAATCTCATGAGATAAAAATTTTTTTTTAAACCTAGAGCTTTGTTGCAACCACCACAGTAATAGCTACTTACTGCTAGTTTCTGTCTGACTCAGTCAGACAAGTAGATCCAATCCAGTTAATTACCTAATCCAATTCAGTCCTGGACCCATCCAGTTTTGTTGCAACCTCAAACCCAATTTGAACCAAAGTTTGCTCATATTAAACTCAGAGGGCTCTAAACGTAAGTCCATAGAGCCCAAATCTGAGAGAGAATTTACCCATGATCCCCAGTTGCTGAAAGAGAGCAATGGATGTCAAAGGGTCCTGTGAGTACCTTGCTTGGTCACCTGCTGCTCCTGGGTGTCACTGAAAGCTTTACTTCAGATCCTGCTTCTGACGCCAAAACTGTTAAAAGAAAGATAAACCAGCCAATTTAATAAAGTTTAATAGAGCAAATATTAACACAATTTATATCGGTCAGTTGTCTTTGGACTTCCAGACAACTCTGGCCAGCCTCATGCTCAGCCTTTTAAGTCAGCAGAACAGGAAACTGAGGTGTACAGTGAAAGGGAATGTTTCCTAAGTGAGGAAGTGAGTTAGAGAAATCATTGGTTACATTCTGAAGTTTGTCTGCATTAACATGGTTTAAAAGGAAGGATTCTTATGATTGGCTGAAGCCTAGTTGCTGTGATTGGCTGTAGCTTAGCAACTAGCTCAGAAAAACAGACTAACTGGTACGATTTCAGCTCATCCATAGGAATCAAAATGTGGAAGTACAGTGGCTGTTTTAGGCCAAAATAGTTTAACTTAACAATAGTAACCAAAACTGCATGATACTGGCATAAGAACAAAAATATAGACCAATGGGACAGGATAGAGACCTTGGATATAAATCCACATATTAACAACAGCCCATTCTTTTTTTTTTTTTTTTTTTGGATAGAGGTTTTTGCTGTAGGGCATGTGTGCTCGCTGGAAAGATAGAGAGAGACAGAGAGACCGAAAGCGAGAAATCCCCGCCGCCGCCGGGGGAGATGACCACACCGAAATCCCTTCTCCATTCTCCTCTCAGGATCTTGGGCATGCACACATACACACTGGGCGTGAGTTTGAGCCACTGGGTCCAGGACTTGAACTGTGGTCAACTATACGGGAGTCCAGCGACATAGCCATTATGCTAACTGCTGGTCCCAGCCTATTCATTTTTCGACAAAGGTGCTAAGAATATACAATGAGGAAAAGATAGTCTCTTCAATAAATGGTGTTGAAAAAACTGGTAGGCCAAAGAAGAAAATTAGACTCTCTCTCTCATCATATACATAAAAATCAGTTCAAAATGGACTAAACACTCAAACATTAGACCTGAAAACTAAGAAATCATGAGAAGAAAATATAAGGAAACTTCCATACCATTGGTCTGAACAATAATTATTTTGGATATGACTGCAAAAGCAGAGGCAACAAAAGCAAAAATAAACAAATGGGATTACATTAAATTATAATGCTTCTGCACAGCAAAGGAAACAATCAAAAAAGGGAAGAGACAATTTATAGAATGGGAGAAAATATTTGCAAACTATAAGTCTGATAATGCATTAATATCCAAAATACATAAGGAACTCAACTCAATAACGAGAAACCAAATAACTATTTTTAAAAATGGGCAAAACATTTGTATGGATAATTCTCAAAAGAAGACATAGGTATATCAAAAATGCTCAACATCACTAATGATCAGGGGAATGCAAATCAAAACTACAATGAGAAACCACTTCACTCCTATTGCTATGACTATTAAAAAAAAAAGCCAAGAGATAAATGTTGACATGGTTGTGGAGAAAAGGGAACCCTTGCACACTGATGGTGGATATATAAATTAGTGTGGTCATTGTGGAAAACAGTACAGAGGTTCACCACCCCCCCAAAAGAACCCCCCAAAACAAAAACAAAAACGAAACCTAGAGGGCAGGCCAATAACTTATTTGTTATAGGAGCCAGATTCCACATGGCTGACTGCAGGTTGAATCCTGGGCCCAGATGCTTGAGAAATACACCAGGCATGTGTGCATGAGTGTCCAAAGTCCCAGCAAGATGGAAAAATGAAGGAGAAAGGATTGTAGTATGACAATGCCCCACTGGGAGATGCTTTCTCTCTCTGGCAAGTGCACACATCCTCCAGCAATTAAGTTGAAAAGAACTAAAAATAAAGAAAACCATTATTGGGAGGCTATGGTGAAAGGAAACACTCTTACGCTGTTGGTAGGAATGTAAATTAGTCCAACCTTTGTAGAAAACAATATAGAGGTTTCTAGAAAATCTACAAATAGAAATTCTATGTGACTCAATAATCCCACTTCTTGGTATTTATCCAAAGGATAGAAAAATAATCAGAAAGACATCTGCACATCCTTATCTATTGCATTATTATTCACAATTGCTAAAACAAGGAGCCAACTTAAGTGTCCAAAAACTGATGACTGGATTGAAAAACTGTGGAACATATATACTATGAAATATTACACATGTATAAGTAACAATGAGATCCTATCATTTGACTCAAAATGGATGAATATAAAAGACTTAATGTTCAGTGAAGTGAGCCAAACTTTGAAAGATACACATTGTATATCCCCCTTCATTTCATATTGAGTGCTACTGCAGAGTTTGAGAGATCCAAAAATATAATGGTGGAGAGGGTGGGTGTAAATGCTAGAGACTGCAAGGGGAGAGTGGATGGTAGAGAGTTTGTGGTGTGTGGTGGAGGGTGGGTGTAAGATACAATGGGAAGAAACATTTGACACACAGAAAAATGTATAAAATAGAACATGTTCATTATGAAACTAACTAAATTCTGTTCTGTAGCAGGTTATTTCTTTTTTTTTTTCTGGGGGGGTAGTTTTTTCTTTGCTATAGGGCTCATGCACTCTCCAGAAAGACAGAGAGACAGAGTGACAAAAACTGAGAAATCATTCCCCACCCAGGGAGGATGGCTACACCGCAATCCCTTCTCCTCCATTCTCCTCTTGTGATCTTGGGCATGCATGCACACGTGCTCGGCATGAGTTTAAGCCACCAGGTCCAGGACTTTAACGAAAGTCGACTACATGTAAGTCCAGTGACACAGCCATTACGCCAACTGCTGGTCCCTGTAGCAGGCTACTTCAAAAATAGGTTTAATTACATGTGTTCATTAGGATTGAGGTATGCATGATGACAAAAAGAAAAATAAAACTACTATGTAATACAGCAATTCCACTACCAAGCATACATCCAAAATAAATAAAAACAGTATGCCAAAGAAAATCTTCCCTTTCATGTTTGTTGCAGTACTAGTTACAATAGCCAAGATACGGAGTCAATCTAAGTGGCTATCAGCAGATAAATGGATTTTTAAAATGTGGCATATATATTTTATGAAATACAAATAATCTATAATAAAAAAGAAAATCTTGTCATTTGCAGCATGGATAAACCTGGAGGACATTACTTTTTTTTTTTTTTTTTTTTAAAGAGTATTTTCTTTTTTAGCAGCTTTTTGCCTTAGGGTGTATGTGCTCCCCCTGTGGTGGGGAGGTGGGGGTGGGGTGGGAGGAGAGCAGACACAATAAGAAGGAAAGTGAGAAATATACCCTCAGGGGTGACAGCCATACCAGAATCCCTTCGCCTCCACTCTCCTCCTGGGATCTTGGCCATGCACGCACATGCACCCGGCATGAGTTTCAAGCCAATGGGTCCAGGACTTGAACCATAGTTGGCCACGTGGGAGTCCAGGGGACGTAACCGCTATGCCATCTGCTGGTCCTGTCATTATGTTAAGTAAAATAAGCCAGGCATAAAGAGACAAAAACTGGACAATCTCATTCATACAGAATCTAAAAATATTGACCTTGTAGAAGAGAGAATGGTGGTTACCACAGACTAAGTAATGAGTAGTGGGGTAGGGAGTTAGAAAGATGTTGGTCAAAGGATGCATATTTACAGTTAGATAGGAAAAATAAGTTCAAGAGACCTGATAGTATGATTATTATAGCTAATGACAATATATTGTATATGTTCTTGAAAAATGCTAAGAGTATTTACTAAGTGATCTTGCACAAAAATGATAACTATGTGAGGTAATGCATTTGTTACTTACATTTAATCCTTCTACTCTGTATGTACATATTTCAGAATAAGTTGATTTAATAAATATATACAATTTTGTCAACTTAAAAACAAATACATGAATTTTAAAAAGAAAAAAAGGTATACAGAAGTTCTTTGTACTTTTCATGCAACTTCTCTGCAAGAGCTAATTCAAACCTGTATGGAATGAGGAAAACAACCAAATAGAAAAATGGGAAAAAGGGCAAGACTTTTCATTGAAACAAAAAATAATAAATTAAAAGCCAATAAATGTATTAAAATAATCTCAATAATATGCATAAGCGAAAAAGCCAAATTAAAATAAGCTATTATTTTCCAACTATCATTTTGGGAAGGATAAAAGAATGACAATTCCAGTATGAAAAACAGGCATTCTCATGAATTGTTTGTGGAAGGGTGAATGGTGAAAACTCTTTGAAGTAAAATTTTGGTAAGATTTTCTACAAGTGAATATGTATGTACCCTAGGGACCAGTGCTTGGCTTAATGGCTATGTCGCTGGACTCCCATGTAGTCGACCTTGGTTCCAGTCCCAGACCCGATGGCTTAAACTCACACTGGGCACATGTGCGTGTGTGCCGAAGACCCTGAGAGGAGAATGGAGGGGAAGGGATTGTGGCATGGCCATCTCCCCTGGGTGCGATTTCTCGCTTTCTGTCTCTCTGTCTTCCTGGCTAGTGCATGCACCCTGTAGCAAAAACCTCTCAAAAAAAAAAAAATGTATGTATCTTTGATCCAGAAATTGTACCTTCTTGATCTATACATAAATACCTTTTGAAAGTTAAATAAACCTCTCCTCAGATACAACACAGGTATCGTTTTCTTAAAAGTCTGGGAACCAAGTCTTTGAAATGCAAATATCAAGGAAGACAATACCTCTATTTCTGTCACCAAGTGAGGAGCCTAAACACTTTGCTTTAAGTTGTTAAATACCTGTTTATCATATCATTGTTTTTAGTCTGCCCTCCCTTCCACCACCACCCCCCCCCTCCCCGCTTTGGATAAAGGCAATTAACTAACACAGACCCTTGGGATGAACTAAGAAATAATAGCAGTGCTGTCTAGTCTTGTCACATGAGAACATGCATGTAAATGGATTGTATCTGCTTGGCTATATAAAAGGTAAGATTTCTGTTCGTTTTTGCAACTTCATTAGAGAATCGCCTATGACGCCCATCCCATTCTGGTTTAAGGCTTACAGAATAATACAATTATTATTATTTTATTTTCTACAGTTGGGGAGCTGTCCTGAGGTGGCGAGGGATTTCATTTTTTATCTTTTCCGCGGCAATATCAAATGACTCACGTCTTCTATCTTAACTAACTTCGGCCTCCCCGACCCTGCTGCTTCCGGGGGTAAATGAGGATGGTAACTGCTCCTCGCTCGCTCACCTCCAGGTCAGCTTGGAGACCCAACGAGCGCACGCGACTCCTAGGCGCTGTTGAACCACGACTCCCAGCATTCCCAGCGCTTCTGCGCCGCCGGCTTCCTCTTCCGGTTCGGAGGCTGCTGAAACCGAAAGTGGTGTGCTTTGGCCGCAGCGGTCAGATTGATTGGCGTTCACCTGCGCGGATCACCGCCTGACCCGAGTAGGAAGCCAGGCCACCGGTAAAACATGAACGGGAGAGCCGCTTATGTGGTCACCGAGGAAGAGATCAATCTTACCAGAGGACCCTCGGGTATGTGGAGCGGGTCGTTTTTGGGAGTAGGGGACGTGAGCGGGTCATTGCAGAGTGGGCACCTCTTCTGCCAAAAGTTAGTTTACCTGGTTACGGAGCAGGGAGGCCCCAACCGAGAACTTGACCGCAATGCCTTCGCCACGTAGAAAGAATATGTTAACTTCCAACATTAGCCGGATACAGGACTGAGGAATCCGCCTCGGAATCCAGTTGGATTACCACACATATTTAGTCAGAAGGGATGTTTTTCTGTTGTTGGTGCTAGAAAAGCCTAGAAAGAAGTCCGCTTTTTAAAAAGCCAGCAGATCATGGACATCACACCCTTCTATCCCTGTTTCTGTGAGGGACCGTTTAGAAAAAAAGATTGTAAGCAGTGTGAACTTTGAATCCATCGCTGTTTTCTTGGTGCTAAATCCCTCCCTCACGCCTCCTTTCTAGGAAATTGATATACAGTGTCAGCTAAGATGTTGAAAAGCAGGAAAAGCCTTAGAGATGTGTTACAGAAGTTCCTATACTTGGTTCTGCCACAAAATTATCTAGGATGTTTGGCTTTTTATTAAAAATAAATAAATAAAAATGTTAAATCCTAGGAACCTTAGACCCTAAATCTCTGGGTATTTAGATTCAAGACGAATTTTTTCTTTTTAAACGAGCTCCTCAGATGATTCAGTTATAGCCAAATCCTAACTTGCCCCTGCTGCCCTCTTACCCCCCCCAGACACTCTTCATTAAACATGCCTCTTGACATTACTACATACTGTCTTCCTTGGACTTGATTGCCTTTCCTTCACTGCTGTTTGATTTCCTCCTTTAAGAGCTAGGACCAGAAGATGGTATAAAGGTTACGTCGCTGGGCTCTCACTTGGTCCACCATGGTTGGAGTCCTGCATCAGTTGCTTAAAACTCAGGCCAGCACCTGTGTGTGCATGCCCAAAATCCATTTCTTGCTTTCTGTCTCTTTGGCAAGTACCCTATAGCAAAAATCTCTTATTAAAAAAAAAGAAAGAAAGAAAAAAGAAAGCTGTAACTTTGGGATTACACCATCAAGGTCCAAAATTTTGTGTCTTACTAGGTCTTTGATATTTATTGGCCAAGTAACTTAAATGATATAAACCTTAGTTTCTCATCTGTAACTGTGAAATATTTAGAGCACTGCATGACATGCTGTAAGCACTCTATGTTTGCTCTTACTGTATTGTTATTGTTAATGGAGGAATGGCTAGACTGACAGTAAGTTCTGCTAAATACTATATTCAAAGAGTTACTAATAAATCAAGTACTGTGAGCTTGTCTCTGAAATGTTTGTAAAATCCTCTCAATCCTTTCTGTTTCCATTGTCACTACCTGGAACAGCCTATCACCTTTACTTAACTGGAAATTTTGCAATAGTTTAATCACCATTAATAGATTTTCTTTATAAAATAATGGCTTTCAAAATTATTCATACCTTGTTTTTTCTTTCCTTTCTTACATAAATTTTTTTATAAATTTGTCTTTTCACTCTAACATGTGCTGACTTTTGAGGTTAGCCTCTCGGAATTTTGGGGCACATACACCCACACTCCCACCCGCTGAGCGAGATTTCAAGCCATCAGATTAGGGACTGACACCTTGCTTGGCCATGTGAAATCCAGCATCTTAACCACCACATGCCTGCTGGCATACATAGTTTTTGTTTTTTTTTTTTAAAGATATTTTTGCTATGGGGTATGTGAGTTTGCTGGAGAGACAGGCAGAAGGTGAGAAATCACCCCCACTCCACAATACCTTCTCCCCCATTCTCCTCTTGTGGTTTTGGGCACATATACAGACATGCCCTGCAAGAAATCATCCCCATGCCACAATCCCTTCTCTTCCATTCTCTTTCCGTGATTTTGGGTATGCATACTCACACACCCAGTGTGAATTTCAAGCCTCTGCATCCAAGACTTGAACTTCAGTCAACCACGTGGGAGCCCAGTGTCTTAACTACTATGCCACCTACTGGGCCCATGGAAGTTATTTTCAAAGTTTCTCTTTTTTTAGAATTATTTTATTTAACTCTACTTATTTACTTATTTTTAATTTGACAAGAGAGGGACAAAGCAAGAGAGGCAAAGTGAGAAAGCAAGCCACCAGGTCTGGAACTCCATCCATGGTTGATGATGTTAGAGTCCAGTGCTCCTAACCACCATGCCACCTGCTGGCCCCTAAAGTTTCCCTTTTAAACCCAAATCTGTCTATACTTTTCATATTGTTTTTCTCTTAGGTCTAGTTAAAATATGCTAGTTCTTTTTTGATTGATCTGCAAATAAAGACATCTAATTGTTCTGCTTCTGCTTTGCCCCTTCTTTCTTCAACCTTTTGTGATACTGTTGGCGGTTTGATTCTTGCCTCTTGTACAAGACATTAATGTACTTTGACATACAGTCTTTTTGCTATGACATCTACATTATTTCCAAAATATCGTGACTAGAGCAGAGCAGAACACTGATATTACCTTTTTTGGTCTAGCCATTAATTTAAAAAACAGTCAATATAATAGGGACCAGCAGATGGCATAGTGGCTACGTCACTGGACTCCCATGTGGTCAACCGCGGTTCGAGTCCCGGACCCTGTGACTTAAACTCACAGCGGGTGCATGTGCATGTGTGCCCAAGATCCTGAGAGAAGAAGGGATTGCAGCATGGCCATCCCCCCTAGGGGGTGATTTGTCACTTTCTGTCTCTCTGTCTCTCTTTGTCTTTCTGGCGAGCTTACATGCCCTATAGCAGAAACCTCTCCAAAAAAAAAAGAAATTCAATGTGATATCATTTTGTATTTTTTGGTATTTGTACAGCAGTGTTGCTTAATGTTTTAGCTCATGATTCACTAAAATTTTTGAGCCTGTCGATCTTGCAGACCTAACGTTTCCTAATGTTAGCATTTTTCAGAAACAGGACTATCTTCAAGGGATTAATTAAAAGGAATAATTATATCTAATATATTACATCCTAAAGTAGTTTAATATCTATATTGTATATTTGTCCAAAATGAATGTGTTTATCTGAAACAATTGCATATATCCATTGAGTGGTTTCTGCGATTTTCCTAAGCATTTTCTTGTCATAGTCATATAAGTTGATTACCTATCTACACATTTAGGCTTGAATTTGTATAAAAACAAGCATCCGAGGTTTGATTGGTTTAGTTAACAAGGAACTAAACCATTTTGGTAGTGCTGTGTAGATCTTTCTATGGAAAAAATATGAAAAACCGCTAATTCTAAGCATGCATCTCTGTAAGCAGTGACATCATTCCTTGTCTTTTTATAGCTTCCTACTTAGAAACCTGATGGTTTAGTTAAGTAACTGCAAGAAAGTGTGCTCTTGTTCTGTCATGGGCAGACTATCTTGGATGTTTGCAGTGTTTGGGTCCATTTTGTAAAGCAAACGAACCACTGCTGTTTGAGCAAGGGAAGTACTGAAGTCTTGGAGAAAATTATAACAATGAAGTGAGCGAGTGAGCTGGCAGAAAGAAGCTTAGTGTGTAGCTTGGCATATTTCCTGTGTCTACTTCTTCAACCATGTCAGGAGAGGCTTGGGCTAGATGACTTCATTTCATAGCTCTCTTCCAATTCTAACTAAGAGTTCATGATTCTTTGGCCCACTCTCTATGTCACTTTATGATTCCTGCCACTTTGGCTAACTCAGTGACCTGAAGACCGTTAGGCAGTAGTCATGATCAAATTGCCTTCAGAAGTTGAATATTTCACCTTTTATCCTTTTGAAACATTTTCTCTCTCTTTTCTTTCTATGGGGTCTAGCTTGACTATTTCTAAGGCTTCTGCCTTCTCTTTCATCAAATTTAGAGTTCTTAATGTTGTAAAGACTCAGTTACTCTTAAGTGTGAGAAGACTTCAGCTTTCTTCACTGTAACAGGTAGACGCTGGCCATAAAGACAATCCTGTTGCACATTAGGTACTATTTAGGATACCTATGTTCAGGCTTGAGGTCTCAATGGATTTTTGCAAGCTATTCTTTTTTTTTAAAGAATTATTTTATTTTAACTATATTTATCATTTTGATTTAACCAGAGAGGGGCAGAGAGAGTAAGAGAGAGAGTCAGAAAGCAAGCTGCCAGGTCCGGGACTCAAACTGCGTTTGGGCATGTGGGAGTCCAATGTCCTTAACCACCATGCCACCTGCCAGCCCCATGCAAGCTACTCTTGATATGCCATCTGTAAAGGGGGAAGAGAATATTTTCTTACTTTCTTTAAAGGCCTTTCAGAGGATAGTGTGTGGGTAAAATGTTTTATTAATGAATAATTAGGACAGTATTGTCTTTCTGGCAGTGTGCTAGTTACTGTATATGTATTCCCCCACCCCTTCTTTTATTTTGCTAGTGGATACATGTGCTCACCAGAGATGGGGAGAAGAGAGAAGAAAGCACCCTCATAGGGAATGGTCACTCTGCAATCCTTTTCCATCTCTTCCTCCTGGGATTTTGTGCATGCACATAGACATGCCTGACATGTTTCTTAAGCCATTGACTCCAGGACTCAAACCACAGGGTCAGCCACATGAGATTCACCTGCTTCAACAACCAGGCCATGGCAGCCCTATCTGCATGTTTTTGTTTTTGTTTTTTTTTAATTTTTAAAAATAATTTCATCTTTGAAGCCTGAATATTGCTTAATTGATGTTACTAGGTGGAAAAGTTATCTCAGAGAAGTTAAGGACTTGCCCATGTTCTAAAGCCAGTACATTTCAAAGGATTTTGTCACAGGTCTCTTGAGTCTACTGTACCAGATACTACATTCACTAAGTAGCCATTCCTAAAAAGTTGACTGTCAGTCTTTCCCTTGACTTTTATTTTGTTACATCATGTTTTATTCCCAGAAGGATTTGAGGCATCTTAAATGACTAAGAATTTCCAGTGGAAAGTTTTTATAGTTTGGTGTTGATGGAGCTGAGGGCATATCAAGGTAAGAACCCAGAGAAAAGCAACTTCAGTAAGTCCAAACATTTAAACCTTATAGACTTGTGTGCATTGGATTTAACCCTGGGGCTGTTGCTAACAGATCTGTTTCTTTCTTTCATATATTGAATAGATCTAACAATAAAGTGTTGTATCTTTTCCCCATTGTCTCTTGATTACATAAAGTCTAGTGCCTCATGGAGTTTACAGTCCAAAAGAAACATGATTTTTACATGTAAAATGTTAAATCTCAGTGCAAAGGTGCAAATGGTTAAGGACTATGAATATAGTGAGAGGCCAAAGTAAGTACAGAAGGAAGCATGGAACTGACCCTACTGGAAAAGTTTTAAGAATGGAGCTCCTGTTAAGAATTGGAGTAGTCAATTAAAAAAGGTAGAACTTCAGTTTGTCTTATAGAATGGACAGGCTTTTGGCTAGGGCCAGGAATGGGTGAAACCCAAGCAATAACAGAGAAAATACAATAAGCAAAGACTATTGTAAGGTCATTGAGTAAATCAGCCTGGGAAGAAGGGAAGGATCATTTTGGAGATGCAAAGGGGAAGGGGTTGCTGAGGTAGGTGAAAATTGACTTATGGAGAGTCAGTGGGGCATAGTCACACTGTAATATCCTTCTTCATTTCCCAATCCTTTTGGGACTTAGAGTACACACATGCACCCAGTGTGTATTTCAAGCCGCTGGAACTGGGATTTAAACCATGCTTAGCTATGTAAACTCTAGCTCCTTTAACCACAAGGCAATGGGTCCAGCTCTAGAATAGAATTTCAAGAATATACATTTCCATGTAAATTTTAGAATCAGATTATCAATTTCTACCAAAAAAATTTGCTGGGATTTTCACTAGAATTGTATTAAAACTATATATGTCAATTTGGAGAGAAGAGCTATCTTTAAAATACCATCCTCCAGTCCATGAACATGGTATATCTTCACTCAGTGCTTTTATTAAATTCTTTCAGCAACATTTTGTTTTTGTGTAGAGATCTTCAGTATTTCTCAGAAAATTATCTGGAGAATCAGCAGTTAGCGTAATGGCTATGTCGCTGGACTCCCACATAGTTGACCGCAGTTTGCGTCCTGGACCCTGTGGCTTAAAACTCACACTGGGCGCGTGTGCATGCGTGCCCAAGATCCCGAGAGGAGAATGGAGGAGAAGGGATTGTCTGGCGAGCGCACACGCCCTATAGCGAAAATCTCTCAAAAAAAAAAAAAAAAAGAAGAAAATTATCTGTAAATACTTTGTCTTTATGTATTTAAATGGTATTATTTCTAAATTATATTTTAAGTTGATTTCTGTATACATTAACCTATCTTGCAATCTTGGTCAATTTAGTTATTAATTTTAGTAGTTTGTGTATTTTTTTTTTGGAGAGATTTTCGCTATAGGGCGTGTGCGCATGCCAGACAGACAGAGAGAGACATAGAGACAGAAAGCGAGAAATCACCCCCCAGAGAGGATGGTCACGCCGCAATCCCTTCTCCTCCATTCTCCTCTCGGGATCTTGGGCACGCATGCACACGCGCCCAGTGTGAGTTTTAAGCCACAGGGTCCAGGACGCAAACTGCGGTCAACTATGTGGGAGTCCAGCGACATAGCCAATACGCTAACTGCTGGTTCCCAGTTTGTGTATTTTTATTTTTAGATTTTTCAGATTATTTATATAGACCATCATGTTATCTATGAATGAAGATACTTTTATTTCTTCTAACCTTTTTCTTTATTTATTTTTGTCTTGTTTTGTTGCACCGACTGGGACCTCCAGTTCAGTGCTGAATAGTAGCAGTGAAAGTTGACATTGTTTTTATGTACTTAGTTTTGGTTATTAGCTTTTTTTTGTACATGCTTCTTATACTGATGAAGTTGCCTTATATTTTTGGTGTACTTTGAGTTTGCATCATGAAAGTCTTGAATTTCACTACTTCCTTTTTCTACAGATGATAATCTGCAGATAATCATGATATCGCGATAATCATGGGATGTTCCCCTTGTTTTATTACTTGACAAACTTGTTCACTTGATTGACCAGTGTTAAAACAATCTTGTATTGTTCAGATGAACTCCATGTTTATTCTTTTTATATATTGCTGGATTCAATTAGTTAATAATTTCTTGAGAATTTTTGGGTTTATGTCCTTGAGGGTTATTTGCAGTTTTATCTTCTTAATTTTTTTTTTTTTTAAGTTTTGTCATAGGGCCTGTACATTCACTGGAGAGAGACAGAGTGTGAGAGGGAAAGTGAGAAGTTAATCCCTGGGGGATGGCCACAGTATAATTCCTTTTCTTTTCTTCTCCTGAGACTTTGGGCATGCGTGCACACACTTGGCATGATTTTTCAAGCTGCCAGGTCCAGCTCAAACCATGGTTGACCATGTGGGAGACTAGTGCTTTAACCACCATGCCACCAACTGGCCCCATAATCTTTTTTTAAATCTTTGTACCAAGATAATCTCATTTTTATATTAATAAAATGGATTGAGAAATAGTTTCTGAAATTATTTAACTATATTGGGGAATTTTTTTCCCCATATGATTGGAGCTAGTTCTTCCTTAAATGTTTGTTGTAATACACAAGTGAAACTAGGTTTGGAGTTGTCTGTGTGGGAAGATTTTTGATTATGAATTCAGTATTTTTTATGAGCTAGGAGATAGTTTTAATAAATATATACTCAGGTATTCTCCATATTCTTAAGTCAGTTTAGCTTGTGATTATTTTTAAGAATTTTTCTAAGAAACCATAATTATTGATAATACTACTTTATGTTAATGTTTTTAGGATCTACAGTGACAATCTATTTTTTTATTTCTGGTATTGGTAATTTGTAAATTCTATTTTTTCACAATTAGTCATGCTTACTAGCCAGTAACCCTTTTAAAGACCCAACTTTGGGGACCAGCAGATGGCATAATGTTAATGTCGTTGGACTTCTATGTAGTCTACCACGGTTCAAGTCATACCGGGTGCATGTGTGTGTGTACCCAAAATCCTGAGAGGAGAACAGGGGAGAAGGGACTGCAGCATGGCCATCCCCGCTGGTGGAGTGATTTCTTGCTTTCTGTCTTTTCAGTGAGTGTATACACCCTACAACAACAATCTCTCTCTAAAAAAGAAAAGAACCAACTTAGACTCTTAATTTTTTCTATTCTATTGATTTTGCTATTATTTTATTATGTCTTCTTCATGAATTGACCCTTTTTACACTGTGAAATCCTAGTTTATCTTTTATAGTATTTCTTATTCTGAAGTTTATTTTTTGTGCTGTAAATAGGGCTACTCTAGCTTTAACATTTATAGCATTTGCTTGGTATTAATATGTCTTTGTTCAGTCTTTTATGTTTAACTTGTGTTTACTCGCATAGTTATGATTTCAGGCAGTATTTATTTCTTCGTAGAGACCCAAATTTTGATTCCATATTTTTCTTTTGCCTGAAGAATTTCCTTAAATATTTATCATAGTGTAGGTATTCTAGGACAGATTCTTTTAGCTTCTGTTTTTCTGAAAATGTGTTTATTTTTGTCTTATATTTTGAAAGGTATTTTCACTGGATATAGAATTCTAAGTTGATTTCTATTTTTCTCTTAGTGTTTTCAAGATGCCATTACATTGACTTTTGTCTTACATAGTTTTTTTTTTTTCTTTGTGAGAAATCACCCCCCAACGGAGGAAGGTCACACTGCAATCCCATTTCTTCTTGAGATCTTAGGCATGCACACACACGCTCCCAATGTGAGTTCCAAGCATCCTGGTCCAGGACTCAAACCATGGTCCACTACATGGGAATCCAGCAAGGTAACCATTATGCCATCTGCTGGTCCCTGTCTTATATTTTTCAGAAGATCTCTTGTCATTACCTTTGCTTCTTTGTATATAATGTATCCTTTATACCTCCAGCTACATTTTACTTTTTCTTGATATACCTGATTTAGAACAATGTGATTATTATATACCTTGCTGTTGTTTTTATTTGTGTGTGCTTATACTTACTGGAGTTTATTTACCTTTTAAAATATGTTTGTTTATAGGTTTTATCAAATATGAGCCAGTTGTTTCTCCAGATATTTTTTCTCTTTGCCATTTTCTCTCTTGGAAGTTCAGTCAAAAAAGAAAACAACTATATAGGCTGGCAGGTTGTGTGGTGGTTAAGGACACTGGACTCAGACATGTCAGTCCACAGTTTGAGTCCCAGTCCTAGCAGCTTGCTTTCTCACATTTCCTCTCTCTCTGTCTCTCACTCTGTCTTTCTCTGATCAAATTAAAATAAATAAATAAAGCTAAGTAAAATAATTCTCCCCCCCAAAAAAGAAAATGAGTATTTATATATGTATATACATATGCATATATTGATAAATGCATTTTAGGTTTGTTTTTACTTGACAAAGATTTTTATAGGATACAAAATGTGATGTTTGATATAAATATATGTGTGTGTGTGTGTATATATCTATATATAGAGAGACATACATTATGGAGTAATTAATCAGGGCATATAACCTAGCCATCACCTCAGATTATATCCTATTTATCATTTCTTTGTGGTGAGAACATTTAAAACTTCTGTTTTAGCTATTTTAAAGTCTACAGTATAGGGACCAGCAGTTAGCATAATGGCCATGTCACTGGACTCCCGTGTAGTCGACCGCGGTTCGAGTCCTGGACCCAGTGGCTTAAACTCATGCCGAGCGTGTGTGTGTGCATGCCCAAGATCCTGAGAGGAGAATGGAGAAGGGATTGCAGCATGGCCATCCGCCCGGGGGGCAATTTCTTGCTTTCTGTCGCTCTGTCTCTGTCTTTCTGGCAAGTGTACGCACCCTATAGCAAACAACTCTCCAAAAAAAAAAAAAGTCTACAGTATATTATTATTAGTTATAGTCAGCTTGCTGTGCAGTGGAGCACCAGAATTTATTCCTCTTATCTAACAGTAACTTTATATTCATTGGCCAGTGTCTTCTTTTCCCATCCACTCTTCCCTGCTACTAACCTCTGGTAAC